TTTTTCTTAATTTTTTAGCATTTTTTTGTATTTTTGCACCTTGCTTCAAAAAGGTGTGTGCCTTGCCTTGTGCCTCAGGCGCAAATTGGTCCTTTCAACTAGTTCTATGCATCTTCATTTTCTTAATATAAAATATTTTTATTAAAAATAAAGAAAATGAGATTTTTCTTACTCTTCTTCCTCCTCCTTCCTCCTCATCCCCCAACCCCTCCTCTTAAGGACCTCCTTGTGTTTAGGAGGCTTACGCCTCTTACATTCTAAACTACGCCTCATGCCTCTAGGTAGAAGAATGCCTCGCATCATGCCTCCACATTTTAAAACATTGATTAAAACTAAAAAAAAAAGATTATAATGATTTTTGGGGGTGACAAAATAAGTACCCCAAAACAAGATACATCCAATTCACAAGAAAAGTAAACAAACATACATGGTCCAAAGGATCATTCCTCCAACAAAAGATGCAAATATGAACCTTATATAGACTTATCTCATTAATTAAAAGATCCTAATCTCTCTCCAACTCATGCCTATAGCTTAAGTATTGGGATATTTTGATCAAGGAGATAAGTCTATAAAACATCATTGATAACTAAAAGGACCGATCCACTAAACAAGTCCATAAGTAAATAAAGAACAAATAAATTAGCACAACGGAGCCATTTTTTTGATAAATAACATAGAATTTCATTAAAAATTAAAAGGAATTATACATACAAGAAGAGGGAGGTAAACTATCTTAACTCCCCTGCAACCAGCAAAACAAAATTACAAGATAAGAAATGAGCCCACAATAAAGAATCCCTAGTCACCCCTTGCTTTGCTATCCCATCCGCAAATGAGTTAGCAGATCTCTTCACCCATTTTTTCTTGAGAAAAGGAAACTTTCATGAAAAGAGGGAAGGATATACAAGATGTGTATGAGAAAGATCAAACAAGAGCAAAACAAAATGAAACAAAAAGCCTTCCCAACCCTTTAAAGAGGGATCTCTATATTGCTGTACAAAAAGTCCCTGCCCACCCCAGATTTCACAAGATCATCTAATACTGAGTTCAGATTCCTTGGAATCCACCTGAAGACACAATGGATCTGAGATTGAATCACCTTCCACCACAACCAAAGAGATGTTTAAGGAAATTTACACATCTGAGCCCCATCAGCAAACCTATACCTCTGCTTCAATAGCTTCAACCTCTCCAATGGGACCACTAGGCCCAAACTTTTTTTTTATCAATAACAGATTCATTCAATTCATTGAAATATCAAACTATTTACAGCAAGGAAGACAAAAACTCTTATCTTCCAAGAACAACTTAAACCCTCCAAAGAGAGAAACAAGGAAACAAAAGAAACAATTAAGTTACAGCTTAGCCCAAAACATCGTTTCCCTTTTTATCCCTTGTTTAGCTAATCCATCAGCCAAAGAGTTAGCTGATCTCTTAACCCAACGCATCCTGATTTCCATCTCCCGCACCAGCCACATGAATTTCCTCTTTTCGTTTCTGTAATTCCATAAACCGCAGTTGTCTTTAATCAGCCACCCTATCACCACCTCTGAGTCCCCTTCAATTATGAATTTCCTGACATTCAACTCCTTGGCTTTCTGAACTCCTTCCATAACTGCCAAGATCTCAGCTCTAAGGGAATCCCCCACACCAATTGGGCCTGAGAATAGGGCAGAAATGACCTCGTTTTCATCCCTAAAAACACCTCCAATCCCTAATTGTCCCGGGTTCCCCCTACAACTCCCATCAAAATTTAACTTTAAGAATAAGTGGGGGAGTCCAAGACACCCTTATTACTAGTCTGATCCAAGTGCAGTTTGCAATCTCACCCCACTTTCTCAGCATGTCTTCCACTATGTAATCTGTAAATAACTCTAGTAATTTCAGCCACTATACTGCTCTTATGTGGATCACAGCCTTCACATCTTCAGCCCCTCTCTCATTTTCTGAGAAGATCCTAGAATTTCTTTCTTCCCATAATGTCCAACATACTGCAGCTCTCAGACATCTCCACATAGTCCTTCCCCTTTTCATGTGCCACCTAAAGAAGGAAAGAGAAAAAAGGCTCTACAAGTCTGATGAAGGGTTCCACCTACACCCAAAGAGAGAACAGGCCCACTCCCAAATTGACTTGGCAAATTGCCAAAACACTAGTAAGTGAAAACTAGTCTCCCCATCCACTTTGTAAAGAACACACCAATGAGGTGACAAACAATTATTGGGTCTCTTCTTTTGGAGCAAATCCCCAGTGTTGAATCTTTCCAAATAGGCTTCCCAACAAAAACTACTAACCCTAGGAGGAATCAGTCTACACCAAACCTCACTAACCGAGAAAGGGAACAGGACTGGTGGATTGGCAAAGGACTTTGAAGAAGGAAGCACAAGAAAAAGAGCCCGTGGGGGTAGGGGTTCAAATTCTAGAGTCCACCATAGAAGGGTCCAAGAAAACATTATCAAGAAATTCAAAGAGGTTCGAAATACAATCAAGGTTTGAGTCCTTCACAACCCTCCTCAGACCTAGGTTCCACACAAACCCCAAACTAGAAGAGGAATGACTGATGAAAGAAGAAACTGGCTCATTTTTAAATTCAGATAGAGCGTACAAAGAAGAAAATTGTTCCTTAAGAGGAACATTCCCCACCCAAATATGTTCCCAGAATTTTATGGCATTACCTGAATTCAAATCGTACCTGAGATGAGGGGAGAAGATTGGAAGCAGATCATGAATCGCTTTCCAAGGTGAAGTGCTTGTGGTCCTTGCTCTGATTCCAGCATCCCATCCATTTTGCTCCAGCCCATGTATGCTTGCCACTATTCTAGCCCATAACTTCTGCCGCTCCAAAGGGAACCTCCATAACCACTTCCCCAAAAGGGCCAAATTCCTAATCCTAATGTTCCCAATCTCCAAACCCCCATAGTTTTTACTTCTGGTCACCACCTTCCAACTAACCCTGTGGTCCCTCTTCTCCTCTCCTGGCTCTCAAAGGAAATCCCTCATCAACCTCTCCAACCTACTAGAAACCTTCCCTGGAATTTTAAACACTGAGAGAGATAAATGGGTAAGTTTGCTAACGTGGCCTTAATCAGTGTTATCCTACCACCTAGAGAGAGATAATTCTTCTTCCAAGATTTGATGGCCTCTAATCCTTATCTCTTCAAGAATGAAAACTTTTGCTTCAATCTTTATCTCTTTCCTCCATTTTGCAGCTTCTACAAACCTGTTCTCCATCTCTCCCTCCCTACCTTAGCTGTGATATTAACTTCTCTCTTCACCTCGTTGTTCTTCCTTTCTTATTGAGAGCTTCTTTCCATCTATCACTTCTGAACTTTCACCCTCTTATAGGATCCTTGGCTAGTTTTAATTTTTTCTCTCTGTATTCTCCAAATCATCTTCACCCAATTGGATTTTATCTCTATATCTTTTGCCCACCATTTAAACTTCTTTCTTCATTGTTGTAATTCCACATTGCAGTCTTGTCTTCCTTTAACCATTTTACCACCACCTCTGAGTCCCCTTCAATTATCATTCTCTTAATGTTCAAGTCTATTTCTCTTTGAATTCCCTCCAATGCTGCAAGAATCTCAGCCCTAATAGAGTTACCCTCTCCAATAGGGCCAGAGTAAATAGCTGAAATAATCCCTTCCTCATTTTTGAAAACTCCCCCAATACCTGACAAAGGCTGCTGCCAATCTCAGCCCTAATAGAGTTACCCTCTCCAAGGCTGCTGCCATCAAAATTCAGTTTTAGGAAGCCCGAGGGGGGAGGTATCCAAGAGGGACTTGTGTCCCTTTTAATCTGGGAAGAACTTGCTATCTCTTTCCAATTCTTCAACAGGTTGTCCACGGTGAAGTCCATGAATAAATCCAGAGATTTCTCAATGTTTCTCTCTTTTTCTGGAAAAAAAAAATTCTTGAGTTTCTTTCTTCCCATAGTCTCCAACACAGTGGGGCCCTCAGACACCTCCACATGATCCTACCTCTTTTCATTGCCCAACTAAAAAAGGAAGGAGAAAACAGGCTTTGTACATTCATAGGAGAGGTTCCAGCTACACCCAAAAGTAATAAAACCCACTCCCATATAGTTTTAGCATAGTGGCAAGATACCAACGGGTGAAAACCCGATTCCCCATCTGCCTTGCAAAGAATGCACCTATGCGGGGATAAACAAATCTTGGGCCTCTTTCTTTGAAGCAGATTACTTGTGTTGATTCTTTCCAGAAAAGTTTCCTAGTGAAAACTTCCAACCTGAGGAGGAATGGGCCTACACCAGACCTCTATAACAGGGAAGGACAAACCAGGAATAACATGTTGCTGAGTCAAAGTTTTGAACAGAGATGCACAAGAGAAATAGCCCGAAGGTGAAGGGGTCCAAGAAAACATTTTCAAGAAGCATAAAGGAGCCAATTAACACCCCAATAACAGCATGGCATGAATATATACAAACAGTTTGCTCATTCCTACACTAAACATATACATTTCTGCAACACTCATCTTTTGGACATGCTGTTTCCTAGCTTCTTGGGTTAGATATTTACCAAACAAATCATGGTTTAGCGAAGAATAAATAGTGTGATAACTAACCACTTATGGATATTTTTTTAACTTTATTCGTGGCATTTCATAACAGGGATGCACGAGTGAATGACTGTAATGATGTTCAAAACAACACAATTGTTTAGAAGTCTTGACCTAGAAGAAACCTCAATGATTGGGACGTAAGATCCATGGCAAAATTACTACAAAAAACTCATAAACGAGCAAAATGTATAGGCCAAAAAGATAGAAGGGTTTGGAAGTCAGAATGTTCAGGCTCTTTCTTGAATCGTTTTTCAAGAAATTAAACTCTCCTCCAGCAAGAGAGGAAAAGCTTACTGGGCTACAATAATTCATGCTGTATTGTGGGGTGTTTAGGAAGAAAGAAACAGGCGAATCTTTGACAGCAAGAGTAAAACTTCTGAAGACAGACTGCCCATATCTTTTTTTACAACTTGTAGAGTGTAAACGGTGAAATCTTTAAATGAATTTCCTTAAAGAACTTACAAAGGAATGTAACATTCTTCCTCTACTCTTATCCTTGCACTTTGACAGTCCCATCAATTCACCCCTCCAAGAGAGGGATTGATGCTAAACTTTGATGGTAATGCTTTAGGAAGCCCAGGGATGGCTGGCATTGGTGGTGTGATCAGAAAGAAGGATGGAAACATTCATTGGGCCTTCAATGGTCCAATAGGGATAGCAAATTCCACTAAGGTTGAAGTCCTGGCAGCCCTCACAGGTATTTGAATTGCTAAAGACTTGGACCTTACAAGCATAGCCATTAGAAGTGACATGAAAACACAATTAAGTGGCTAGGAGAGAAAGATGGGGACCCTTGGAAGCTGGCCCATTATCTGGCTGAGGTCAGAGACCCTTAGGGTGATGTGGATGCAACTCTCACATGGATTCCAAGAGAGTGGAACTCACTTGCAGACAACCTTGCAAAATCAAGGACCTTTAGACATTCTCTTTTTAGTGACTCTACTCTTCCAGTGTGTCTTCCTTTTCTTTGTACATTGTCCAAAATATGGTGGCCGGTGTCTCGTCTAAAATTATTACCCTTGTCTAAGCGATCGTTGAAGCGTAGTTTTGGGCGTCGAATCCACAGAGAAGCTGATTAAACCAACAAAAGGAGTTATCGCTAAGAGTGAAAAACCTAGAAAAATGATTTTCTAAAAATAAAAAGAAGAGCAAAAATATTTGAATAAAAATAACAATGATTAAAGGATGAAAAGTAGTATTGTGATGAACAAGGTTTCGAGATTCACTTGATCGATTTGCTTTAACTAGTCTCGACTTTTATTCCTATTTATCACTCAATTGCAAGTTTCACATCCCAAGCAAACAATCGGAAAATATAACTTTGAAACCAACGATAAGAACAAAAGTATTTGTTCTGAGAGAATTAATTTTCGATGGAGAACAGAATGATCTATTCTTACAAGCTACCCAAGAACGACAATATATCAAATTGATAGTATTGCAGTCAAAGATCAACCCATAAAATAAATCTACCCAATCAATTATTTTCTAACAAATTGCACATAAAAAGAGCATGACTAATCTTATATGAAAATTGAAGAATATAACTTCAAGGTTTATCAAAATAATAAAAGAAATCTCTCAAGAACAAAAATAAACATTGAAATCTCTCAAGGAATCAAAGTAAAATAACAAGTAAAACTCATCGATCAAGATCCTCCCTAGCCTTGTTGAAGCTTTAGTCGTGCTTGGACGCCATTCTCCCCTCTTCTCCTTTGTAAAAGACAGAAAATAATGCCAAATAACCTCTGAAAGTTGTCCCCCTTTTAGGTTAGATTTTTCCTTTTTATTGTACTGCCAGGCTCCTCAATCTGCTCAGCCCGGATCTGCGTCTTATCCCCCAATTTTTGCCTAGATAGAGATTGATTTAGAGAAAGCTATCAACAGATGAATTGTAGCTCTATCTCTTAGTTGTCCATAGCCTCAAGAATCATCGAATTTCGACATCTGTAAAGAAAGATATGCCCAAAATACTGGACTCTGTTCAGAGTAAAACGAGAAACGAATCAGCACTCATACTTGGGCCATGAAACTTGGGTTTGGGTTTCTTGGACCTATGTTTGGGCTTTCCTCCATTCAATTATTAATTATTTCAGCATAAAAATTGCACAAATAATAAAATTGACATTTATAAAATTATTATAGAAAAATATTACTTTTAAACTCTTTATTTTACAAATGTCAATTGTTGAATACACTTTAGATAAACATTTTCATGCTTCCGTCAGCCGGTTCTCATTCAAAGAAAAGGCAACCAGTCTACAGTCAAAAGTGGTCTTTCTGGTAATGGAGAGTGAGGTTAGAGAAATGCCTAACACCTGATAAACATGCAATTTTATTAATTTTTTATGGGACCCCTTATTGCAGAGAAGTGAAGTCAATAAACTAATACAACATCCAAGGCTGACATTTCCAACAATACATACATTTGATTATTGTGTTACAAGTTCACCTCTGGCCTAAGTGCCCCCTCAACAAACTTGTCCATGTCACCCCTGCTCTTGTTTATGCATCAGCAATATCATTACTTGATAAGGTATCCACTTGGAAATTGGAATGTCAGATTGGGGACCTGCCTTTTTGCATTCGGGTTTCCTGGTTGGGGCTAAATCAACATCACTTAGCATTTGGAAACCTCTTATAGAAAGAGTGGAGATGAGGTTGGCAAAGTGAAAGGCAAAATATCTCTCACTGCTTGTTGTATTCAGGAATGGTTCTGCCCTCTCTTTGGTTGCAGATAGATCCCTCCTGTTAGTTTGGAAAGTCTCTTTAACCCATCCTTCTTGAGATGCACCAAAAGAAGAGGCAGAATTTTGTGGAAGTGTGCTAGAGCAGCAATCGTGTGGACTGTTTGGGAGGAAAAGAACTTAAGAATCTTTGAGGATAAAGAAAGGAACAGGGAAGTAATCTTGGAAACTATTACATTTAGAGTTGCTCATTAGGTAAGGACTTTGAATCTATTCTCTGACTTCTCAGATTTCTCAGTGGAGGACTTTTTCCAAAACTGGAGGTCTTGGAGGTTTGGTCTCCCCCAAGCGAAGGTTGGATGAAACTTAACTTCAATGGAAGTAGCTTTGGTAATCCAGGTAATGCAGGAGTTGAAGAACCAAATTTGGAATTTTCTTAAATTTTCTATATTATTGTATATTTGGACAATATGGGTATTTTCGTCACTTTAACTAGCCCTGTGTGGGCCTGCACTATAACATTTTGTTCCTCTAGTTTAGTAGGGCTTGTCTTTCAATTTTCAGCTTATTTGCATCAATAGATAGAAAGTTACTGTGTTTCTTGATGCACAAGACAATGAGTGGTATTTTTGTAATTATAGTGAACAGTTTTCCGGGCCACACAAGTCACTCTATAAATAGATGTATTCTCTTCCTTTTGAATCTAATGAATGAATGAAGATTTCTTTAGAGTAAGTTTGCTGTATGGAGTGGTTCCTACAAACCCTAGAGTGATTCCAAGACCCCTTGGAGTGATTCCTTGGGATCTCTCACTCTCTCTCGTGATAGTTTGTTCCAGCCCTACTGCATCACCAGGTCCATCTGGAATTGGAGGAGCAATTAGGAATGGGAGTGGGATCACTTGTGCGTTGTTTTCCAGGCCTATTGAACAGGGTGATTCAGTGAGAGCTGAGCTCTTGGCAGCTATTGTTGAAGTGCAAAAAGCCAAGGAAATGGGGATTATAAGATTGATAATAGAAGGAGATTCAAAAATAGTCATTGGCTGGCTGAAAAAAGAGAGAAGAGGTATTATGGCAATTCAGAAATGAACTCAGGTGGTTCAAGATGCTGTCAAGACATATGCAAGTCCACTTAAGATGGGTTAGGAGGTTTGCTAATGGTTCGGCGGATGGGTTAGCTAAACAAGGAGTGAATAGACATCATTTGTTTTGGGCCCAATGTTAGTTGGGTGTGGGATTCTTTGCTGTAATGGGTGTTATTTCTAAGAACTTGTTGTACTATTCTTTTCTTGAGTTCTAATAAATTTCTTAAAGTAAAGAACTCCAACCACCAATGAAACCAAAATCAGGGAACTGAATTTCTCCACTCACCCCTAGCTGGAAAGACAAATTAGCTAAATGATGAGTAAACAAATTAAGAATTCTCTTAATGAAAAACAAAAGAACAACAATCAAAGGAAGCAGTTAACAACCAAATGCCATGAACAAAAAATTACAATGCAAACAAATTTAGAAGGGCTCTTAGAGACTCTAAGTTGAACTCCATTTCCGATTTGCTTAAGATCCTAGATGAGGTGGTTTTCGATCCCTCTAGTAGGGATAATAGGATTTGGGTTCCTTCCCCTTCGGGTGTCTTTACTTGCTCTTCCTTTTCCAAAGTGTTAACCCAGTCCCAACCGGTTTTAGGACACCCTTTCCCAGTCCTGGAAATTTGGGGTAGACCAATTCCTCCCAGAGTGGGTGTTTTCTGCTGGGAAGCTTTCTTGGAAAAGTTTAACAGTTGCGACTTACTTCAAAGGAAAAGGCCAAATTGGTGTTTGTCCCCGCACTGGTGCATCCTATGCAAGGAGAATGGTGAGAGCTGCTACCACTTAATGGTTTTCTGTCCTTTTGTTTTAGAAATCTGGTGCTTCTGTTCTCTCTTTGGTTGCAGGTGGTCCTCTCCTCCAACTGTGCAGAGCCTGTTTAACACAACACTAGTGAGAGGGTTAAAAAAGAGAGGTAAATTTCTGTGGAGATGTGTAAGAGCAGCAATATGTTGGACAGTGTGGGAGGAAAGAAATCAAAGAATATTCCTTGAAAAAGAAAGAAATAAGGAAGCTATCATTGAAGTAATTTCCATTAGAGTGGCTCATTGGGTTAAGACCTTGCAGCTTTTTGCAGATTACATAGCAGGACATATCATTAAGAATTGGAAAGAAATGGCTTGGTTAGCTCCCCTGAAATCTACCCCTTCTCCGGTTTGGGTTCCTCCACCCTTGGGCTACACTAAGTTGAACTTTGATGGAAGCAGCGAAGGAAACCCAGGTCCTTAAGGTTTAGATGGAGCCTTCAGGGGTGAAGAAGGTCAAATTATTGCAATGTATTCGGGGCCTATTGGTTGGGGGGGATTCTCTGAGGGCTGAAATGCTGGCAGTGTTGGAAGGAATTAAAATAGCACGGCAGCTGAATATCAAAAAACTGGTGGTGGAAGGTGACTCAAAATATGGAAGTTCAGTTTCAGTGGACTAAAAGGTGTGCTAATTCCCTGGCAGATTCTTTGGCTAAGCAAGGGGTGGGAAGAACTTGTCTTTTCTGGGCAGCTTTGTAATATGAAGTAACCTTTTAGGGAGGGTTAAGAGATCTTACCCTTCCCTCCCGTTGTATCCTCCTGTTTAATCTTTCTATTAATAAAAGTTTTCTGTTATCAATCAAAAAAAAATAATTCAGAATTAGTCAAATGAAATAGCAACAGGAAAGGCTTAGTACTTACGTTTTGAGTGACAAGACTTTATATTTGTAGATCAACCCTTTGCTTGAAAACCAAGACCCTTGTTATTAACCTCAACCCAACTGCATCCACGAGGCTTATTCACCCCTATTTCCTTCATCAGTGTCCGGACCCTTGTGGCCTCATCCCACTGCTCATTTGAAGCATATATACTGGCAAGAAGCACATAATTCCCAGTATTATCAGGTTCCAACTTGAAGAGCTGCTTGGCAACACTTTCTGCAATTTCAACATTGCCGTATGTTCTACATGCTGCTAGAAGAGAACCCAAAGCTCCTGGATGTGAACCCATTGGCATCCTCTTGACCAATTCATAGGCTTCATCAAGTTGCCCAGCACGTCCAAGCATATCAACAATGCAAGCATAGTGATCAGCACCTGGCTCAATCCTGTAATCGTTTACCATGCTTTCCCAAAATTTTAATCCATCTTCAACGAGCCCTGTATGGCTACAGGCCGTTAATACCCCGATAAATGTGATGTAATCTGGTTCAATGTTATGCATTTGCATTCTACGAAAAACCCCTAGAGCTTTGATTCCATGTCCATGAGAAGCAAGGCCTGTTATGAGCGCACTGTAGGAGAAGACATCAGGACGAGGAATCTCCTCAAATATTCGACAAGCTTCTTTCATGTTTCCACACTTTGCATGCATATCAACTAATGCAGTGAGAACTCTCTCATTTCGCTCAATGCCTGTTTGATCCACATAAGATCCAACCCAATTTGCTAGCTCTATGCCTCCTAACTGTGCAGATGCAGAGATTACACCAGTCATTGTTACAGCATCTGGCTTCATCCTTGCCCTTTCCATTCTACAAAAGAGTGCTAGAGCTTCACTGGGCTGTCCATTCTGTGCATACCCCGTAATCATTGCTGTCCAAGAAACCAAATTCCGCTCTGGCATTGCATCAAAGAGAATTCGAGCTGACTTTACCAAACTATTCTTTGTATATCCTACTAGCATTGTTGTCCAAGAAACTACATTCCTTTCAGGCATCTCATCAAAAACTCTCCTTGCTGAATCCAAATCTCCAGCATTAATGTACCCAACAATCATTGCATTCCAGGATATCACATTTCTTTCTGGCATCTGATTGAACACTCTTTCTGCACCTCCCATGTCTTCCCCAAGCTTTGCATGGGCTCCTAAAAGAGCATTGTAAGACACAACATCTCTTTTGGGCATTTCATTGAATGTGCAGTATGAATGATTTAACATGTTGCATTTACCATACATGTCAATCAATGCATTCGAAACTGGAATATATGATAGAAACCCAGTTTTGATAACACGTCCATGGATTTCAACCCCTAGATCAAGTGCTGACAGAGTAGCACAAGAGTTGAAGAGAAATGGATATGTGAAATTATCAGGTTTGAATTGATTTTGGATCATTTGGAGGTAAAGATGGACTGAATGAATGCAAAGTGATGGAACCTTAGAAAAAGCCTTAATGGTGTGATTGAAGAGGGAGAGGCTTGGGCGGGAAACGGAGGAGAAAACACGGTAGATATAGTGAGGCAAAGAGAGACTAGTGTACAGAGAAACAATAGTACAAGCCAAGGAGTTGTTTTGATGGAGACAAGTTCGGATCATGTGAGCATGAATCTGTTTGAGCTGAGAAAGAGAGGTGCATGTCTTTAGCAGAGATGCGGCTCTGTCTACTTTATTGTTTTTGTGGTTCTTGTGGGATCTTTCTTTCATGACACTTTTCTTGTTTGAAAGCAATTAGTGTTTTCTTGAGTTTTCAACCAAAACAGTTTAGACTTTGGAATATGAATGCATGATGGGGTAGAACTGGGATCTAACATACAATGGGACAGGAATAATTAGCATAGATAGAGAGCTGCAATTACAAGTTTAGAGTTTCACTTGTCTAAAATGAATGATGTATTTTTTCCTGGTAAGTAATAGTTCTTTTCTGTTCTTTTTTTTTAATTCTTTTAACTTCAAAGACAGCTTCTTCAAGAACCAGGATGGTCTTTCCCTCTGTATGCAATTGATATAGCTTCCATCTTCAACCCCGTGAATGAACAAATGGCATTCAAACAATTTGATAAAGTGATGCCATTTTAGAAAGGAGAAGGGGCAATAGAACAATAAAGAGAATAGAGAGTAGAGATTAAATAGTTATGAGAATGACCTAGACTGGTCAAACTTTGCCAATGCTAGTGGGTCCAAACTGCCTGAATTTCAAGATGTCCATTGTAACAACATTCTGCTGAAATTGAAAAACGCAACAAAGAACAATTTAGTATTTGATGGATAAAAGTTATTGAAATAAACAAGATATACATAAAAGCTTCTTTATGCTCAAGATAAAATGTGATGAAATTGGGTAAGGGCATAACTCTATACTAATAGATAGATATAAACTCTCTCTGAAAAAAAAAATAACATAAGAAAATAAAAGGTGGTCTCTGATTCCCCTTTTGGTATACATTATACGAAACACCAAAAACCTAATCCTATAATATACTGTGAAATAATACAATATGAAATATTGCAAATGCAGTTCACTTCCAACCCTCTATCTCTTAACCTAGATATCAGTTATCTTTTTAAACAGAATTGAGATCACACAAACAAACACAGGACTATGACCCGAATCCTCATATCACTAATAACTCTCAAGTCTAATCTGATCATATTTCCCAACCTAATGTCAGTCAACATAAAACCACTGAAGAAATGCATTATCCCTCTAGAGGGTAAGGACCAAAAGAAAAGCCCCTTGCCTGTCCAAAGCAGTGCCTTAGTCTATCCAAACAACCAAGTACAATATTAATTAAATTTAAGAAATGAAGACATCTCAGCTCAACTAATCTCAGTTTTAATGCCGACTATTTGGGATCTGCTATGTGAATCCTGTCCAGCCATTTAACACATTCATGTACATTATCCACCACCCCCCACCCCTTTTTGGTAACCACTTTTCTACTAGTATGTATTGCTAAAAATATCAAAATTTGCAATAATGTCAAAGCGAATTATGCTCCACCATCCTGCATTCTTCATCCCATCTCTACCACAGTTAGTAAGTTGATCCAAATGCATTACACACCCATCAAGTGAAGACTGCTGGAGCTGAAAGAGCCCTGTAACTTCCTCTTGTATTTTACAAGTGAATAACTGTTATGACTATGAGTATTCTAGATATTGAGTGCCATGCTTATGGCCTAATGCTACTTTGGGGATTACCTAATCTGTCTAATCTGTATGGTGTGAGCATAGATGCGGGTCCTTCATATATACTTGTGGTTTCAGTCCTTCAATAAAGTGTGTTTAAAGTAAAGAACTGTGCCAGTTATCTGGAATTTCTGTTGGACAAAATATTCATTCTGGTTTTACCCAGATAATGAAATTGAATCAAAGAAACTTTCTGTGATGGCACAAGTGTGTCAAGTGAATTTGGAGCATCAAACATAGGTTCAGAAAAGAGTTTGTTTGCAATGAGTTTAAAACTGTCTTATCATTTTCCAGCTCTTACAGTCATTACAGTACTGGTCCCTGGTCATAACATCTGGGCTGTTTTTTTTTTTTTTTGAAGGATAAAAGAGAAGTTCAGTGATAGTTGGGTAGTAAAGATAGAATTTGTTTCTGTAATTCCCTTGCTTGCCATCTCCATAGTATTTGATTCAGCAGGAGGTGTATTATCAGGTTAGTGGCAACCATAGTTTCTGTATGTTGTGGACACGTTCATCGGGAAGAAGTACCACCGCCGGCAGCAGCAGTGACGTGGTGTCCTCATCAGATTATCTAGCTAGTCACAGCTCATCTTATCTTATCTGTTTCTTGTCTTATCTATAAGGATTAGTAGAGGATTAGTATCTTATCTAGAAGTCTGATTTATCTTAGGGAGTCTTATCTTTTCTTAAGTTAGGAGTCTTATCTATCTTATCTGTAGCAGTCGAGTTTAACAAGGAGTCTTCCTACAAGGAGGACTCTCACCTCTTGTACTCTCCTATTTAAGGAACTAAGATTATGGAATAAATCATCAAATTTCCAGTCAAGAAAGAGAGTAAAAGGAGAGTTCGGTGATCTCTTGGACAAATCACCCTCTAGGACGCCAAAATAGGTTCAGCTAGGAAGGGGAGGAACAAGGGAAGACAAGAGCTTTTCCCCGTGGACCGACCCGTGACGATATCCTACGCCCGAGCCCATAACAATTTGGTATCAGAGCCTACCGTCATGGGAGATCTGAAGCAGCTCTCATCTAGGGTCCACGAACTGGAACATAGGTTCGTGGAAACCAGCGTGGAGGTTCGTGAGGTCAAAGACGATGTCCGGGAGTTGCGACGCTTGCTGGAATCGTATTTCTCTAACAAGGAAAAGAACTCCGAAGGAACCGCCACCACCAACAGCCGCCGAGCAAACTGGGCAGAGACGTCCGGAGAACAATAGACCGCCGCCCCGGCAGCCGCAGTTGTTCCCAAGTATAGCCGGCTAGAGTTTCCGTCTTACAGCGGCAGCGGAGATCCACTGGGATGCTTATATCGCTGCGAACAGTTCTTCCGCAACCAACGGACAGGGGACAGCGACAAGGTAAGCTTGACCGCATTCCACATGACAGAGGAGGCGCAGCTCTGGTTTTATAAATTGGAGCAGGAGGAACCCGGGCTAAGTTGGACGCAATTCAAATCCTACTGCCTCCTCAGGTTTGGGCCCCCATTGACGAGCAACCCGTTAGGTGAACTGATCAACCTCAAACAGACGAGAACAATGGCTGAATACCAGCACCAATTCCAGACCCTCCTTGCCAGAGCAGCTTCGGTACGACCGGACCAGCAGGTAGACATGTTCACCGCAGGGTTAGCAGAATCCTTGAGGGTGGATGTGGAAATGCAACACCCCCCCAACCTGGTTACAACCATGAATCTAGATCGCGCCTTCGAACGAAAGATGCAGCTCAGCCGCAGAACCTTCAGTATGGGGCGGCCTCCATCCGCATGGGCATCCCCAGAACCACTCGGAATGGCTCCATCTTCTGCAGCCAGCCAAGAATGGAAACCACAAACGAGCCACAATTCCAGATCAGCATCCAATGAGGGGAGCAGCGTTGTTGCACCCCTATTAAGCACTTGTCCAAAGCTGAGATGGCGGAACGCAGGGCGAGGGGACAGTGTTTTAATTGTGATGAACTCTACTCAGCAGGGCACAAGTGCAAGAGACTTTTCTGCCTCCTGGTGGAAAAAGAGGAAGATGAGGATGAACCCCCTTCATTGGAACCCGATCCAGAAGGGCAAAATCATTCCACCTATCCGGGATTCCCCTGACTGAACTCCAAGACACATACCCAGATTTCGAGCTTGAGGACAAGCTCGTAGTCCAAGAGGGGTGTAATGTTGTGGACGCGTTCATCGGGAAGAAGTACCACCGCCGGCAGCAGCAGTGACGTGGTGTCCTCATCAGATTATCTAGCTAGTCACAGCTTATCTTATCTTATCTGTTTCTTGTCTTATCTATAAGGATTAGTAGAGGATTAGTATCTTATCTAGGAGTATGATATATCTTATCTAGGAGTCTGATTTATCTTAGGGAGTCTTATCTTTTCTTAAGTTAGGAATCTTATCTGTAGCAGTCGAGTTTAACAAGGAGTCTTCCTACAAGGAGGACTCTCACCTCTTGTACTCTCCTATTTAAGGAGCTGAGATTATGGAATAAATCATCAAACCTCCAGTCAAGAAAGAGAGTAAAAGGAGAGTTCGGTGATCTCTTGGACAAATCACCCTCTAGGACACCAAGATAGGTTCAGCTAGGAAGGGGAGGAACAAGGGAAGACAAGAGCTTTTCTCCGTGGACCGACCCGTGACGAGATCCTACGCCCGGGCCCATAACACTGTAGTAATGGATTGCATTAATTTTTGTCTTTTCACTGATGCAAGATTTCTACATTTTTACAGACATCCTCAAGAGGATGTGGTAGATAAGCACTTGGCTGCATGGACCAACCTGGATGCCTTTTGTACTATTGGCATGCCTTTGATGATCCTACTTAGTTTTTAAATTGGGCTAGATGCTAAGATGAACTACCATTTAAGGGGATGTTCACCAATACATATAATTTTGTTTATGAAAACAGAAACAACTGCTATATCAACAAAATCATATTATTTTTGTTGATCTTACAGTTGTTTTTATTTAAAAAAAAAAATCATAAACATTGGAGATTGAAGAACGCTCCCTAAACCAATTAGCATATCTGAAATGCCTGTTAAATGTGTAGTCAATCATTAATGCTTCTATACAAAACTTTATGATGGCCTGTTATATCATATTATAATCTTCAAGGAACAGGGGGAAAACACCTCAACAAGAACTTCCTCATCTTCTATAACATGGAACTCACYGTGAATGTACATGAAGGACACCAAGACTGGTGTAACTACATGTGATAGTAGAGCCATAAACAATGATGGGTTGCTTGGTTACAAGTTTGTTAAAATTCCTTAGTTATGGCAAATATATGTATATATGGCGAAAAGCCAAAGCATGATATATTTCAGCTTCTGCAGCTCCTCGGTCCCCTATTTGCGATGGATTTCCAAATTATTGGTGTTTATCAATCATTACTGAAGATCAAGGAAGAATTAACTTTTTTTTTAATTTTAAGTAAAAATACATAAGAAACTTTATGATGGCCTGTTATATCATATTATAATCTTCAAGGAACAGGGGGAAAGCACCTCAACAAGAACTTCCTCATCTTCTATAACATGAACTCACTGTGAATGTACATGAAGGACACCAAGACTAGTGTAACTACATGTGATAGTAGAGCCATAAACAATGATGGGTTGCTTGGTTACAAGTTTGTTAAAATTCCTTAGTTATGGCAAAATATATGTGTAGAGAACACTGAAATGTGAGGTGAATACCCTTAAACAAGGAGAGAAACCGGTTTCAGTCTACTTCTCTACCTTGAAGTCCCTGTGGCATGAGATTGATCACTT